GTTACATCATCAATGCACTTGGTGATGTAGGCAGTGACAGTCTCTGTGTACTCCTGGAGGTCTGTTGTGTTATTGTATGTGGCAGCCTGCTTAAACATATTCCAGTCAGTGGTGTTAAAACAGTCTTGAAGAGCCTCTGACGACCCTTCTGGCCACACTTGTATCTGTTGAACTGGTTTGGCAACTTTAAGAGTAGTCTGTATGCAGGCATTAGCATGACAGTAATGTGGTCTGAGGTGCCAAGATGGGGGAGGGCCTTGTAAGCTCCTCTCTGGGTGGTGTAAACAAAGTCTAGAGTGTTGTTTCCCCGTGTTGAAAAGTCTATGTGTTGGTGTATCTTTGGGAACACTCTTTAGGTCTGCATGATTGAAATCACCAGCCAAGATGAGAAAAGCATATGGGTGGGCTGTCTGCTGCTCACTGATGTGCTGGTACGGTTCATTCAGTGCCTCACTACTGTTGTTGTTGTTGTTGGAGCTGGGAGGGATGTATACAGCAATGAGCAGTATGGCTGTATATTCCCTCGGTAGATAGAACGGCCGGCACTTAGTAATCATAAATTCCACCAGGGGTGAGCAGTGTTTGCAGACCACAACAGCATCGTGGCACCACGCATCATTGATGTAAACACAAAGCCCGCCGCCGCGGGTCTTACCTCCCTCAACGTGAGCTCTGTCCGCTCGATAGCATGTTAGCTGATCGAGCTGAATAGCGCAGTCCGGAACGCTGTTGCTGAGCCATGTTTCCGTGAACACAAAAACACAACAGTCTCTTACAGTCCTCTGAGTTGAGCGTAGTAGTCGGATAAAGTCCAGTTTATTATCCAAAGAGCGTACGTTAGCCAGTACGATGGTGGGGATAGCTGGCTTGTGTGGGTTAGCCGCTAGACTAGCCCAGATACCTCCACGCTTACCCCTCTTCTACTTCCTCTCACGCCGCTTGTGGCGCCTCCGCTGTGGGTGAGGTGCAGCAGTGGGTGTCGGTGATGGTGTAGGCCTCCGGAGCAGACTGAGGTCCCGCAGCTCTTCGGTGTGCGCGGAGTTTAGCTCTAAAAATGTGGTTCTACAAACATCGAGCAGAAACTCACGACTGTATGCGCGCTTGGAGACAGATAGATGCGACGAATACGTACAAAAACACTGCGACTCACAAGATAAAAAACACGAAAACACCTTTCTGTCGGGAGAGAGAGAACCCGCAGTGCATGCACCGCCATCTTGGTAAAAAAAGACAACTTAAGACAAGTTAAGTTAGAACAGTTCAATTGTACATCTTTATTATATTTCTACGGTAGAGGAGAATAGCCAAACCAAAAAGAAACTAAGAAAACACAATGTAACATTCATGAAACCGTACTCAATGGAATGCGCACATGTGACTGGGGCTAGTGCCATCTAGTGGTCGCTGATTTTCTGTGGCTCAGCTGCGCGAGCTGTGTGTGTGTGGATTGGGCAAGGCTAAAAGTGCAGATCGAAAGTCTCAAAATTCAAGTGACTCGACTCAGAAGAGACGTGAATGAATGCACGCGTGTCGCCTGATCCACAAATGCACATTTTAATCGCTACATGCACAAATCATGATACTTTAATACAAACTATAACATTTGTATTCACAAATGTCTCTATTTGAACAAAATGCTGCACATTAATGTAATTATTAACTCTGCAGACACCGGTTGAAAAGCATTTGTTTCAGTGTAGTGACGCACATTTGCGAATTTTTCAAATCGTCTACACGTTAATGAATTGCACTGGGCCTTGTTCGTTGGTAGTTGTGTGTGTGGGGGACGTGAAATGCTGTAAACTGCGAAAATGAAGTCTCAAAATCCAAATGAACCGAACAAGATCGACTCGAACTAGACATCAATTAATGCAAGCATGTCACCTGATCCACATATGCACTGATTCCTTTTTGCACGAGTAACTTAATTTATGATATATTAATGCAGAACAGAACATTTTTATTCGGAAACATGTCTGTATTTGTAAAAATCGCTGCACAATCATTTAATCCCGAATTCCACAGACTCAAATTCAAAGGTATTTGTTTATGGTTAGTAAGATACATGTATAAAATGTATGCAGTACATGGATAATTGTGCGTGCATCTATTAACCATTTTGAGTCTAATATCATCCCATACACTCGTGCCTAGGTGGCTATAAATATAAAGGTTCTTGTACTACCTGGTCCATGGTCGTACACTCTTTGTGTTGATTAGTAACACGCATGCTGATTGAAATTTTTGCTGGTTTATGGTATTGATAAAAAGGAAGGGAACGCAGTTGGAATGAATGAGAGCAGTTGGAATTGATTGCATAATTCAAAACAATTTCTAAATCAACTTTATAGCTCTTTAGTGCTTGCATACGTATTTGATGAGTTCTGTTTTGCTCTCTTTTCTCATCTGGATCTCTTTGCAGTGCAAGTATGATTTCTGCTGGATTTGTCTTGAGGAATGGAAGAAACACAGCTCCTCTACCGGAGGATACTATCGCTGCACGCGCTACGAGGTCATCCAACAGGTGGAGGAGCAGTCCAAGGAGATGACTGTGGAGGTACTCACTCCTTAAATGAGTTTACACACATGGCAGCCATTCAAGAAGTGCATTTACTTGGATCTTTTGTGATTTGTTTGTGCACTACTGTGAATGGTGCTAGTGAAGAAAAGGCTCAGCACTTCACATTTACTTTCCAGGCTCATATTTCTCATGTGTAAAAAGCAACAAAACAGGTTCTGTGTTTTTGTTCTGAGTTTACAAGTTGTTATGAGCTTGAATTTCCATCATGAAGTTACTCTTGCTTTTGTGATTGTGTCCTCGCAGGCAGAAAAACAGCACAAGAGTTTTCAGGAACTTGACCGTTTTATGCATTATTATACACGTTACAAGAATCATGAACACAGTTACCAGGTAGGAATATTTATGTAATGAATGTCTTAAAAGCGTTCCGGTTGAGTGATTGCCTCACTATTTGCTGACAGTCATTCATCAAAGGTGCTTCTTTTAAATTAGTTAGAAGAACGACTCCTGAAAACAGCCAAAGAAAAGATGGAGCAACTAAGCAAAGCTTTCATTGGAAGTGAGTGGAACATAGTTTGCATTTACATGACTTTAGTTTTAAGTGTGATATAGTATGTTCTTATAAACTGGTGTATTTTAAATCAAATAAATAAAAATGTCAATATTTCTGTTTCTTCAAGGGGAAGGAGCCCCACCTGACACCACTTTCATTGAGGATGGTGTGCATGAACTTCTCAAGACCCGACGCATCCTTAAGTGCTCTTATCCATATAGTTTCTTCTTGGAGCCCAAAAGCACAAAGAAAGAAATATTTGAACTTATGCAGGTAGTGAGATCGAGATCTGTTCACCGCTTAAGAGAAACAAGGCAGTGTGATTTGTTTCCATTTAACCTTTTCTTGCACAATATGCTGATGTGTTTAATCTTTCTCCAACATACACAGACTGATTTAGAGATGGTCACCGAAGACCTTGCTCAGAAGGTGAACAGGCCTTACCTCCGCACCCCTCGCCATAAGATCATCAGTGCCACGTATCTGGTGCAGCAGAAGAGACGGGAGTTCTTGGCCTCTGTGGCTCGAGGTGTCGCCCCAAATGATTCTCCCGAGGCTCCCCGCCGCAGGTAAATTCTTGCGCTGCTATTTACACCACCATTTTTATCAGGTTATCAATTTTGCTAGTGTACTAGTACAGAGTAATAGTATACATTTTCAATATGCACCATATAAAAACAAAAACATGAATTTCAGTACCATGGCATATTTCAAAGTATTATAGTATTACCGTCTAATACCATCACTGTGCCATGGTACTACTGTAGTACTTTTTGTACCATGGTAATACCATCAAGGATACAAACTATACAATTTTTTTTTGTCAACAAAAGAGAAACTGTAAGATCTCCTTGCAGTTTTCTGCTGAAATATGAGCTGTGGTTTAATGTTTGACAGCAAAGAAATTAAGACATCCATAAGGATTAATATTTTCTATTATGTAAAATAAACATATTATTGTCATTAAATAGTATTAGTTACTATTACTATAGGAAAGGATTTTTTTTGTTGGATTTATTTTTATTAAAAAAAATTAAAACAACAACTTATTGTATGGTCATATTGCATCTCGTTGAAGAACACTATGATGGTGTTATAATACTTTGATATTACTTTGGTACCATGTCCAAAATGTATTATACTAACAGATATAAAACCCTACAGCCCGAGTACATTTATCTTCTTTTGCAGTTTTGCTGGTGGGACGTGGGATTGGGAGTATCTGGGATTTGCCTCTCCTGAGGTATTACTGCATTACTGATCCTGTGTTTACATTTTTTTCTGTTTTAACTAACCTCTGCTATTGCAAAGCTCAGCCAGCCAGAGTTGTAGCTCACTAGACTGTTAATGCCCTCTGACTCTCTGCGATGTCCTTGTAATTATGTAGGAGAGTTGTGTGTTGTTGTAAAGTACTAGCAGTCACTGAATCTCATTCTGTGTCCAAGATGGTGAGGAATCACCCAGTACGGGGATCAAATGCACAGCGTGAGAGCAATTACAATGCAGGAGGCCAGCCGCAGGTACTGCTGATGACAAAATTACAAAACATCATTTAGTTAACAATTCTTAGTTCACAAAATTTGGTGCAGCATCAATTTTATAGTCATTCATATGTCCAGTATGACATAATATATGATGCTGTCAAAATAAATGTAATCTGGTGTTTAGCTGTTAAGGCTGGTCATCTCCTGGAATATTCCAGATAAAAGGACTATACCGTTACTCAGCCTAAATGTTTAAATAAACCAGAATTCCTGTCCTGTGGTCAACTTCACCGTTCTTGAAATGTGGACACTGTTGTAGATTGCTTTGTCATGCATTCAGTTTGCCTGTGTGAATTATCTGCATTCAGTCTTTCTAACAATTGCAAAATTATTATAATATTAGCTTTTTAATATATTTTTTTCTTAATTTTTTAATGCCTAAATACAGTGGCCTCAAAAAGGATTTGGACACTCAATCATTCTTAAAAAGTATGAATTCTATTGCAATGGATAATTACGTATTAAACTAAGAGGCATCTGCAAAAAAAGGGTGCTAAACATATTTTCTCAAAACTAACATCAGCCTTCTAAATTTTTTATTTTTTTTCAATGACTTTTAAAAAATGAATCAGGTTGTCAGTCTTGAACCACCAGTTTAGTTCATTGTATTAACTATGAACATGTTCTAATACATTTTAACTAAAGCGTTACAACCAGAAAATATCCAAATACTTAAAGTAGTTACGTTTTTTTTTTAAACTTCTTTTTGTGGAGTGTTTTGCTTCAAAAGTGTTTTTAAAACGGTGGTTAGACATTTTGTTATATAATTACAAGAAATTAATTTTTAAGTGTGACTTGAGTGTCCAAATATGTTGTAGGGTTACTTTATTTTATTTTAATCCATATTAGTAGTAAGGATTACAGACGCAGGATACAGTTTTCAAATAATTATTTCATTAACCCTTTTATTCACTGCTTGTAATATTGAAGTCAGTCAGTATTCTTGTGAGAGTCTGTCCATTTTTTAAGGATCTATCTTTTACTGGGGTGCCCAAACTCAGTCCTGGAGGGCTGGTGTCCTGCAGAGTTTAGCTCCAGCTTGCCTCAACACACCTGCCGGGAAGTTTCTAGTATGCCTAGTAAGACCTTGATTAGCTGGATCAGGTGTGTTTAATTAGGGTTGGAGCTAAACTCTGCAGGACACCGGCCCTCCAGGACCGAGTTTGGGCACCCCTGACATAAAAGGTTAGTTCACCCAAAAATGAAAATTAGACTATGTTTTACTCACCCTCGAGGCATCCTAGGTGTATATGACTTTCTTCTTTCAGACGAATCCAGTTGTGGTAATACCATCAAGGATACAAACTATACAATTTTTTTTTGTCAACAAAAGAGAAACTGTAAGATCTCCTTGCAGTTTTCTGCTGAAATATGAGCTGTGGTTTAATGTTTGACAGCAAAGAAATTAAGACATCCATAAGGATTAATATTTTCTATTATGTAAAATAAACATATTATTGTCATTAAATAGTATTAGTTACTATTACTATAGGAAAGGATTTTTTTTGTTGTTTTTATTTTTATTAAAAAAAATTAAAACAACAACTTATTGTATGGTCATATTGCATCTCGTTGAAGAACACTATGATGGTGTTATAATACTTTGATATTACTTTGGTACCATGTCCAAAATGTATTATACTAACAGATATAAAACCCTACAGCCCGAGTACATTTATCTTCTTTTGCAGTTTTGCTGGTGGGACATGGGATTGGGAGTATCTGGGATTTGCCTCTCCTGAGGTATTACTGTATTACTGATCCTGTGTTTACATTTTTTTCTGTTTTAACTAACCTCTGCTATTGCAAAGCTCAGCCAGCCAGAGTTGTAGCTCACTAGACTGTTAATGCCCTCTGACTCTCTGCGATGTCCTTGTAATTATGTAGGAGAGTTGTGTGTTGTTGTAAAGTACTAGCAGTCACTGAATCTCATTCTGTGTCCAAGATGGTGAGGAATCACCCAGTACGGGGATCAAATGCACAGCGTGAGAGCAATTACAATGCAGGAGGCCAGCCGCAGGTACTGCTGATGACAAAATTACAAAACATCATTTAGTTAACAATTCTTAGTTCACAAAATTTGGTGCAGCATCAATTTTATAGTCATTCATATGTCCAGTATGACATAATATATGATGCTGTCAAAATAAATGTAATCTGGTGTTTAGCTGTTAAGGCTGGTCATCTCCTGGAATATTCCAGATAAAAGGACTATACCGTTACTCAGCCTAAATGTTTAAATAAACCAGAATTCCTGTCCTGTGGTCAACTTCACCGTTCTTGAAATGTGGACACTGTTGTAGATTGCTTTGTCATGCATTCAGTTTGCCTGTGTGAATTATCTGCATTCAGTCTTTCTAACAATTGCAAAATTATTATAATATTAGCTTTTTAATATATTTTTTTCTTAATTTTTTAATGCCTAAATACAGTGGCCTCAAAAAGGATTTGGACACTCAATCATTCTTAAAAAGTATGAATTCTATTGCAATGGATAATTACGTATTAAACTAAGAGGCATCTGCAAAAAAAGGGTGCTAAACATATTTTCTCAAAACTAACATCAGCCTTCTAAATTTTTTATTTTTTTTCAATGACTTTTAAAAAATGAATCAGGTTGTCAGTCTTGAACCACCAGTTTAGTTCATTGTATTAACTATGAACATGTTCTAATACATTTTAACTAAAGCGTTACAACCAGAAAATATCCAAATACTTAAAGTAGTTACGTTTTTTTTTTAAACTTCTTTTTGTGGAGTGTTTTGCTTCAAAAGTGTTTTTAAAACGGTGGTTAGACATTTTGTTATATAATTACAAGAAATTAATTTTTAAGTGTGACTTGAGTGTCCAAATATGTTGTAGGGTTACTTTATTTTATTTTAATCCATATTAGTAGTAAGGATTACAGACGCAGGATACAGTTTTCAAATAATTATTTCATTAACCCTTTTATTCACTGCTTGTAATATTGAAGTCAGTCAGTATTCTTGTGAGAGTCTGTCCATTTTTTAAGGATCTATCTTTTACTGGGGTGCCCAAACTCAGTCCTGGAGGGCTGGTGTCCTGCAGAGTTTAGCTCCAGCTTGCCTCAACACACCTGCCGGGAAGTTTCTAGTATGCCTAGTAAGACCTTGATTAGCTGGATCAGGTGTGTTTAATTAGGGTTGGAGCTAAACTCTGCAGGACACCGGCCCTCCAGGACCGAGTTTGGGCACCCCTGACATAAAAGGTTAGTTCACCCAAAAATGAAAATTAGACTATGTTTTACTCACCCTCGAGGCATCCTAGGTGTATATGACTTTCTTCTTTCAGACGAATCCAGATGGAGTTATATTAAAAATTGTCCTGGCTATTCCATTGCAGTCAGCGGGTGTTGCAGTTGAACAGTCCACAAGTCGTCAAATAAAGTGCGCATTCATAATAAACGTGCCTCACACCGCTCTGGGGGGTGAATAAAGGCCTCCTGTAGGGAATCCATGTGTTTTTGTAAGAAAAATATCCATATTTCAAATGTAATAAACACTTTTCTCTCACTTCCGGTATCCGTCATACGTGGAAGGCAATCCGGTGGATGACAGAGCACGTATGCAGAGCGCGTGCCTCTGAGATATCTAGTCTCACGAGTTTGTTTGTAGGAGCAGAGGAAGTAAAGTTTCTTTACTTTAGCAATGGAAAACCAGTCTCCTCTTGGTTTATATCGAAATCCTCTGACATTTTTTTTTACAAATCCTTGGTTTGTACTTCTAATTCATGACCGCCGTTTTGTTTTGTTCTCTCTCCGCGTTCGTCACTAATCACGCAACGCCACGTGTCTTGCGTCATCCGCCGGATCGCCTTCCGCGTATGACAGATAATAGAAGTGAAAGAAAAGTGTTTATTACGTTTGATTATTCACCACCCCCCCGGAGTGGTGTGAGGCACGTTTATTATGAATGCGCGCGCTTTATTTGACAACGTGTGGACTGTTCAACCGCAACACCCGCTGACTGCAATGATAACGCTTGGAATAGCCAGGACCATTTTTAATATAACAGCAACTGGATTCGTCTGAAAGAAGAAAGTCATATACACCTAGGATGCTTCGAGGGTGAGTAAAACAGTCTAATTTTCATTTTTGGGTGAACTAACCCTTTAGTTACTGCTCCTTGACAACAAATCATGTATATTTGTAATTAAACTGAGGTTGATGGTTACTGCAGGAATACTCAGATTTCCAGTACAGACGGAGACACAGGCAGAGGCGTAGAGGAGACCTTCTCAGACTGCACAGCCTTCGCAGTAACACCCCTGAACCACATGACTCCAATGACAACACTTTAGGTAAAGCTCCAGGCAGAGATAGTGACCCCACATAAAGTTAGGATAGACATAACTGAAAGAGCTGCTTTGTCGACGTTACAGAGTTTGAAATTTCTGTATGCGCAATTTGTGTCTACAGAAACACATGAGGGAGGCAATACATCAAGACATGGGATCGCCACGGTGAATATACTGTTTATATGTAAAGATTTTCTAACCTGATTAGGGCTGCAAAACGATTAATCGCATTCAAAATAAAAGTTTGTTTACATACTATATGTGTGCACATATATGTATATATTTTTTATTTTATATAATAAATATACACAGTACACACACATAGGATGTAAACATAAATGTTTATTTTGAATGTTATTAATCGTTTTGCAGCCCTAAACCTGATGCAGCGTTAATTTTTCAACAATTATTTGTTTTGGTCATATTTTTGTATTTTGAATAAAATAATTTAGTTACTATTTCATATATTTTCATTTTTGTCAAACTTACTATAAAATGGCATCTAAATTTAGTCAATGAAATTGCTAAATTAAACAAAATTTCATACATTTTCATAAATCAGAAAATATTTTATATGCTATTTAAACATGAAACGACATTTAAAAACATACACTGCCATTGAACATTTTGGGGTTGGTAGGATTTTTTGAATGTTTTTGGGAAAAAGTCTCACCAAGGCTGCATTTATTTGATCAAATGCATGGTAAAGCAGTATTATGAAATTTTACTACAATTTAAATAACTGTTTTCTATTTGAATATGTTTTAAAATGTATTTTATTCTTGTGATGGCAAAGATGAATTTTCAGCAGCCATTACTTTGGTCTTTAGTGTCACATGATCCTCCAGAAATCATTCTAGCATGCTGAAACATTTCTTATCATTGTTAAAAACTGTTGTGCTGCCTAATATTTTTGTGGAAACTGTGATGCATTTTCCCCCCCCAGAATTATTTGATAAATTGAAGGTTAAAAAGCAGCATTTATTTGATACATTATTAATGTCTTGATGATTTTTTTTTAATGCATCCTTGCTGAATAAAAGTAATAATTTATTTTTAAAAAAACTTATTGACCCCATACATTTGAATGGTATTGTAGCTTAAAAATGAGTCAAAGAGCATATATTGAGAATTTGAACCCTTTTTATCCCTCAGGAACTTGGGTCTCTGGATGAAGATGACCCCAATATTTTGTTGGCTATTCAGCTGTCCCTACAGGAGTCCGGGCTGGCCTTGGACCCCGAGTCTCAGGATGTGCTCAGTAACGATGCCTCTGTTGGTGCCAGTGGTTCCTCTCTGCCCTCTAGACTGGATTCTGCGCCCCATACTGCGGATCCCCCCCGAGCTTCCATGAGCAGCTCTGAGCTTCTGGAGCTGGGAGACAGCCTTATGAGACTGGGCAACATTACCAGTCACTATACACCCTTTAACATGAATTCCTACCCTGATGCCTTGGGTAACGCCTTCACCCCTAGTGACCCAGACTGCCTGGACCCTTCCACCAATGCCAACCTGCTTGGCAACATTATGGCCTGGTTCCATGATATGAATCCACAGAGCATTGCACTGATTCCCTCAGCCACCTCAGATGCCAGTCCTGAGCCTCCCGTTTTTGGAGAGGGACAACCTGCCAAAGCCCAGGATGAGGAGAATGAGGTGGGGAGTCCTGAGCAG